CCCCAAAACCCCAAAACCCCAAAACCCCAAAACCCCACTTTACTTATTATAATTGTTATTAACAAACAATCCAAAATGGCTACTCTAACATCACAAACTACGAATGCTGGTAATAATGCTCCTGGAATGAATAATTTTTCCAAAATTCTAGACAAGAAAGTAGACTTGATTACCAACTCCAATATCCGCTATGAAGGAGTTTTGATTAAAATAAAAACAGAAGACCAAAGGCTTCTACTAAAAGATGTAAAATCATTTGGAACTGAGGGTAGAAATAACGGGGTTAATGAGGTCCCAAGTTCCTCTCCAGATGACCCGAATAGCATATATTCCTTCGTTGAATTCCAAATTCCTATGATCAAGGAACTATATCTTGCTAAAGTGCAAGGTCCCGTTCCTCAAGATCCAGCAATTGTCGCTGTTGAAAAGGAGGAAAAAGAGCCAAAAGAAGATGAACCTGCTCAAAAAGAAGAGAAGAAGCTTGAAAGATTCAAACCTGACATTCCTGCTAATACCAAGAAGGGTACCACTAATTTCTTTGATGATGAATATAAAGAACTAGAAGAAGATGGTTTCAAAACACGTGGCTATAGAGGCCAAAGGAGAGGAAGAGGCAGAGCAAGAAGAGGTTATAGAGGTGGACACCAAATGAGTAGAGGAAGAGGTGACAGAACAAGATATAATCCTCATGGTAAGTTTGAAAAGAACCCTGATCACGAATTGCAAGAGAAATTCAAGGATGACTTTTTCAAATAAATCAGTTGCAATCAGTCAAGATTCCACAGATACCCCTCCAAAGGAAGACAAATTAGAAGTGAATAAAGACGATGCAGTTAAGGAGAGCAAAGAAGATACAGAAGACCCTCAAGATAGTAAAAAGAGCGAAGAGCAGCCTGTAGTCAGTACTACAGCGGGTGATGGATTCTTTGATGACTTTGTCAGCAATAATAATGAAGAGGAAGGAGCAAGAGGCAGAGGAGAAAGGTAATCAAAATTTTTATAAATATTCATATCTTTATAGAGGGCACAGAGCACGCGGAAGAGGTGGAAGAAGACCAAGAGGCAGAGGATATAGATCATATACAAGAGGAGGGTACAGAGGAGATTACCATAGAGGGTATAATCAGCAAGAAGGTTATTATTCAAAGCAAGGATATAAAAAGCAGGAAAAGGAATTTGATGAAGACCTCTCATTTAATATGTACGGTAGTCATACAAAAGGTTTAAAAACTGAAGACACAAGTTATCCTGAATATAAACCTCCTCAAGCAAATTATAGAGGAGCAAGAAGGGGAGCAGCCAATCAGAGCATCAAATCTAGGACTGATAGAGGACGTTTCCATTACTTCTCAACTCAGCAAGATGAAAGCTAAACTTACATTCCTACTCAATATTACCCACAGAATCAGGGGTTTTGGGGTTTTGGGGTTTTGGGGTTTTGGGGTTTTGGGG